GGAGGAATTGATTTGTGTAAGGAAAGTATTTTAGCGTAGTTAAGTTTAGTAAAAAGAGTTGTGGTAAATTTGTGAAGAAGTATTTTAAGGGTTGAGTGTAAAATATCGAAGGGTATAGTAATTGAGTTGTCAATAGTAGGGTTGTGTTGATAAATAATATCTGTAAGAAACTTAGGTTGTGCACCATCAAGAGTTTTAATAAAATATTTAAAACTCCATTTAGATACTTGTTCAGATTCAGTTGCAGGTTTGGTGATTTTTCCTGATACGAAGTTGATGAGATGAGGTTTAAGAAAATCAAAAATTTGTTGAGATAATAGTGTATTGAAGTTAGTAAATGGTTTCATTTCAGTTGTAATTGGATATTTTTAGGTCCAGTTAAGAAGATTTTCTTTTGTTTGTTGTGAAATTTTTATTTTTTGCTAAGTAGATCATTTTTTCTTAAGAAGTTGAAGAAATTCTTTAAAGATTTGGATTTTTTCATCTTTTTTAATAAGAGTAAATTTAGTAGTGAAGAAAGCTGATCATTGTTGTTGGTTGAGAAATTTAGTTTGAATTGATGGTTTTAACTTAAGATTAGAAATACAGCTAGGATGAGTAGGATATCCACATAGAATTTTAGCAATAGGATCGAGAGAATGCTTGTTATTAGTTAGAAAAACATATGGAATATTTGATTTGTGACAAATAATACAGATATGAGTATATTGCATATGAGCTTTAATAGTTACAGTATTAGGTACAAGGTTTGTAACAGTTGATGAAGTAGCAATGGATGAGTTATTATAGTTGAATGAAAATGAAGAGATTTTGCTCACGTGGGATTGAGGGATAGTATCTTTGGTTTTTTTAAATTAGTTTAGGGTTATGTCTATAGGAGTAGCAGAACCAGAAGTTGGAGGAGGTGTTGCAAATCTTGAAGGAAGTTGGTAATAACAAGATGTAAACAGAGTATGATAAGTTTTGCAGAGACATTGGATGACAGTAGATTGATGAAGTGCTTTAAAATAGTGAATCTTGTTTTTTTTATTGCATTCAGTTGAATGCATAGCAAATTGAATAGGTTTAATTTGTTGTAGATTATTTTCTTTAGCCATGGCACCAAAGTGGTCACCATTTTTAGCCAAAAAGTAATCTAAATCATATTGATCTAGATCTTGATTAATTAATGTAGGCATGGTTGTTTTAAAAATGAAAACAGATTTGATATTGGGATTCTTGAGTCTGATAGGATTTCAATGATATAGGATATGACAAATAAGAGGGGGTGACAAATAAGGAGTGTGATAAGTAAAGGATATGACAATTAGAGGGATGTGACAAACACAGATGTGACAAACACAGATGTGACAAACACAGATGTGACAAACACAGATGTGACAAACAGAAGAGTATTACAAAAAGTATGTGATACTTTGCAGATCTATTTGTAAATCATGATTGATGTTAAACAAAAAAGTTGTATAAAATTATAAAAGTACAAATTTGTAATTAATAGATTATGTAATATTGATTAGTAATCCTGTTTTGGGCAGGTTTGGATAGGATAGACCAGAGGCAGCCCTCCAAAAAATAAAAAAAAATTGCAAAAAATAAAAAGAAGTTTTGCAAGAAAGTTTAAGCGTATTTTGCTAATAAGTTAATTAGTTTTAGGCCATTTTTGATAAATTTTATATCAAAATGAAGCTATGAATGAGCTCTTTTCTTTTGTTCTAAGATACAAGAGTTGTTTAATTAGTAAAATTTTAAGATAACTTGAATAAAAGTGTTTTTATATTTAATAAAAATATCTCAGTGAATAAGAGGTCCAAAAATATATAACTAGGCCACCTAAGTGTAAAATTATGTTAGAAACAATTTTATTTAGGCATCTAAGAGTAGTTTACTTAATAAAATATTGAATAATAGTCAAATGTTTGCAGCAGAATTTGGTACAAATGATCGTCGAAAAGAGTTAATGATTTGCATCTCATTTTAAATATATTTAAAATACTTATAAAAAATATAATTTTATTATATTTAAATTTTAATAATAAATTGGACTCAATAGAAGTATAATAATTTAATAAAGTGAATAAGTTGTCAATTTCTAAGTGATAAATTTAAGGTTCAATTTTTATAGACAATAAATTTTAGAAATTATATCTGTTATAATAATTGTTTCTTGTTGATTAGTTGGATTTGAGTATTTGTAATTTTAGTTACATCAAGTCAGATCTCACTTAATATTGAAAACTTAAAACATTTATATAAAGTACAATATTATATATATATATAGAAATATGAAAAACTGATGTTATATAAAACTTTAATACAAATCTGTAATAAGACTATTAGACATAGAAGACTAAGAAACTAAGAAGATAAAAGCCTACTTAGAAATTCTGAATAAAGATGTAATACAAACTTTTAATGATGCTATTAGATCAATAAAAATCTATGAAACATTTTTATAGAAATTGTCAGATAAACTAGATAACAAGCTGTATAGAGAAACATATGACCAAACAGGCTGTTAGAATCATTAAAAGAAAAGAATATATAAATATATCATACTGGGTCATCTAAATTGAAAGTTTGTTAGTTCTAAGCTGCAATTAGTAGAAGATGAAGAAAAAGATATCAAACTTTAAAAAAATATTCATTACTAATTCAATTTTGAACACTTTACTAAACTAAAAATACCTTATCCAAACTTTTATACTTGCTTAAAATCAAAAAAAACTATTCTGATTTTCCTATTTAAAAAATACAATATTAGTTTACTTTTTACTATTAATCTATTTTGTCATATTATCAATCATTTGGCTATAATCCATATGCTTATTGTACTATATATTTATCTAAAAACTTAAAAAATCTTTAAAAATAATATATATTTATTAAATAAAGACAAAACTTTATTTTAGTTCTAACAAAAAAATTGCTAAGCATAAAGATTATTTTTTTTATTTATGACTATTAAAATCAATGTGTTACTTCGAACTTGTTTTCTATTAGCCAATCAAGTTTTGTAACGTCATAAAATGATCTACAAAAATTAGCCAATCAGAATGAAAGCCCACTATGCTGGCGAATAAAAGAGTTGTTTAGTAACCGATCTTAAATTATCTAATAAAATGTCTCAATATACAAATTCTTCTGGCGACATAGATCCCTTCGAAGCCCGGTTACATTTTAATTCAATACTCAAAAAAGTAACTTCTAGCCAGCAAACGATTCAAACATGTACAACATTTGCCCTTAGGCATCACAAGTATTATGAAGATCTATACCGATGTATTATGGAAGTTATGGAAAATGCTACAATTATGACTAGAATGAATCTCCTCTATTTTTTGGACAGTCTTTGTGTAAAATCTAGAAAAGTTGAATTCAACAAATATATTGAATATATTCAGCGTGATTTGAAAAAGATCGTTGTTGATTATGTTTGTGAAAGAGACGATGGGTGTTTCAATTTAGTTAATACTTTAAAAATTCTAAGTAATTGGAAGGAAAAAAGCTATTTTGATATCTCAATTATTGAAAGTACAGAACGGGTTCTATTAGACTGGAAGAAAGAGCCGAATTATCCATCTAAATTAAAATTATCAAAGCATGATATTTTGAAAAGAATAGAAGAAGACCGAGAAAGGTCGAAACATCTTCGAGAAGACATTTGGTGGGTAGATAAAAACATCCCAGATGGTGAGGCTCTTAGCTTATGGGAAGAATGTTCAGATCTAGATAAGAATGATTATTTGGAAATTTTGACAGAAAATTTCAAATACCAACCAGACTATCCGTGGCTGGATGTGTATAAAAAGGTAAAATTATGGAACGAAGAACAAAAACAATTAGAAGAGGAGGAATTAAAGGCGCGTCTTGAGGAGGAGGAAGAACGGGCACGGCAAAAACTTGAGGATGAAGAACGGGCACGACAAAAACTTGAAGAAGAAGAACGAGCACGGCAAAAACTTGAAGAAGAAGAACGAGCACGGCAAAAACTTGAGGAGGAAGAACGGGCACGACAAAAACTTGAGGAGGAAGAACGGGCACGGCAAAAATTTGAAGAAGAAGAACGAGCACGGCAAAAACTTGAAGAAGAAGAAAGAGAGCGACAATTACTCGAGGAAGAATCAATGGCTCAACAAAAAGTTGAGGAAGAAAGAGAGCGACAATTACTTGAGGAAGAAAAGACACAAGAAAAACTTGAAGAATTAAAGGAGAAGCAACAAACAGCAGAGGAAGAAGAGTTAACAGGGGTTATTTCACAACCGCAAGAGGAATATAATATAATCAATATACATGTTGCAGAGTCCGATGATCATATTCTTGGATCAGTAGGAACAAAAAGACAGCACTGTCTAGACGACATTCTCAATGATAATGCCAATGAAAGTGAGAGAGTTTCTAAGAAAGCTCGCACACAAGATTATCATGATGATGAACTCTTAGGAATTTCTGCGAACAATTGCGATGGTAAAAATCGCTTCAATGTTAATGAAAACATAGATTATTTTTCTAGAAGTCAAGGAATCGATAGGAAGGACCATATATCACAAGACGATAATGATAAACCATTAGAACGAGAAATGGCTGACGATAATCAGCATAATCGCTCAATAAACAATAATTTTGGTAAGAGTATAAATCCCATTTCAACATATAGTATTATTGATAAGGGCGAAGAAAATTCTTTGGAAATCAAAAATGAGGATTATATAACTGAAATCCAAAGGTCAAGAATGCCATTTGATCCTGTGCGAGATGCCCAAAATGTTGATATAAACCAAGATGTGACATATTCATATATGACATCTAATGCGGTGCCAGATGATGAAAATGCTTACAATCAGCAATCATTATATTCTAGACCGGTTGAAACATTAGAAGTCAATAATGATGCAGAAACTTTGGTAAACGAGGCAATACAGCCAGAAGAGTGTCACATTGAACAAATTGCAGGTTCCCATCTTAACCTTCTCATGCAAGCAGTGGGTCTTTTAGAAGCAGGGGTATCATCGTTACCTGAAGATTTGTAGTAATATAAAAAATAGGAAATTTTTGTTTGTTGTCCTGTTACGTGACATTTTTGTCACAGGTTACGTGACAAACAATCGACCAATTAAAAATGAATTTATTTTATATTTATAAAAAAAATTACAGTTAATAAAATTAGGAATATTGTTATAGAGTTTAGCATCGTAGTGCCACTCTATATAAATACAAAACTGATATAATGTTCAAATCAAAATGTCGGGTTTACATAGCAAAAAGAGGCGCGTGAGCGCCGCACTTACAATCGACCAATGGGATTGCGGATAAGGTTCCATTTCATTCGTTGTCGATCCTTGAATTTTTATTGGCTGATTAGGTGAACGTCCTATATTCGGTTATAAGAAAAATCGCTAACGAATCTGATTATATCAAATTAAATTTGACAGAAGCAAGTAATGACAAAACATAAAATTCTTTTTTTTTGGTATTAAGGTGAGGCTTTGCTTATATCTTTATTAATAATTTAAAATAGTTACATATATATATGCTATGGCCAAGACCAATACTTGCAGTCAGGGTTAACTATTAAATTGTTAATTATATAATTATTATTATTTGTATGAAACAAATAAATTGAAAATTACATGCAAAAATAAAAGTTCAAACTAGTTTATATATGGTTTAAACTTACTAAAATGGTCAAAGTTCATTTAGATTTGAATGTTTAATATTTAATTTAATTCTTCAACTTTTCTATATTTAAAATTAATTTGAAATAATTAATAATAGTGTTATATAGAAATAGAGGTGTAATGTCATATTAGGTGTCTTAAAATAAGTAGCACAAATGTAGTTTAGAAATCTCTAATTTAATTCTTCTATTACTTAATAAAGTTTCTACTTTGGCATTTCAAAAAAAAAAAAAAAAAATTTAATTTAATAATATATTATACATATCTGATCTATAAGATAAATCAAATGTTAATTTTGTGAATTGCTTGATCAATAGGAGAACATGTATTTAAGTAAGAATATAATTAATTAGGAAATTTATAAAAGTATAAACAAGTGCAATCTTTTTGAGAATATATATGTTTTCTAGTTAAATTGAATAATCTTAAAGGTTAGTTAATTAGTTAAAATCAGAATTTGTTTTATTAATTTTTCTAATTAGAAAAATAAATACAATATGTTATTCATAATTGCTTATATAATTGTTTATTGATATTAAGAAGAATATTAATAATAATTTGAGAGACAATTTTGTATAAAATGTCAAAGTTTTAAATTGTTGATATAAAAGATTTTGGAATAAGTCTTTTGAGAATAAGATTAGAATAGTAAGTATTAGGTAATATATATAGAGAGTTAAGAGCTAAATAATAAAAGATTTTGTTAATTAGATTATGTTTTTGATAAGTATCAAGATTAGACAAATTATTAGAAATAATTTGATTATTAGAAATTTGAATAATTTGATTAAATAAAAATGAATTAGTACAAGTATATCAATAAAAATAAGAATTAGGTAGGTTGTAATAAAAGCAAATAGTATCTGAATATTGGTTTAGATAAATAGTATAATATTATGAATATGTTAACAACTTATTAAAAAGAATTTTTGTTTTAAAAGATTTTAGTTGATTAAGTTTGAAGTTAGTAATATTGTATGAAGTTTTTTAATTATAATTAAAATAAAGTCAAATAGATCTCTAATCAATAACTTGATAAAGTATGACCACTTATTGTTTCATTTTTATAATGCTTATATAGCTAATATGTGAGTTTTACAAATTTGTTTTTTTTTTTTTTATTAAACTAGCCTCTTTTGGGTCTAGGGTTTTATTCAGTAAATTGGATATAGGAACTCATAGCTGAAGTTCAAAAAAGTCATCTTACATTAGAGAGTACAACTAGTCATACATATACTTTTGATATCTAATTTAAGTAGTCCACCAATAGTTCTATACTAGTTGCTATACCTGCAACCCAACTAGAGGCATTGCCTATTTAAAGCCTCTGTGTTGCAATCCTTACTGTGTCACTAGATCATCTCCAATACAGCTGTCAGTCAAGAAGGTCTAGATACTTTTACCCATTTTCCTTAGGACCCTATACCTTATTTCATGCAGTGTATCCTCAAAAGCATTGTTACTAGAGCCTTCTGTGTTCCACACACAGTTGACCTAGTTTTATATAATACGCTATAGTTATCCAACACTTGCAGTTACAGAGGTTATCTGTTTAACTACTACATTATACTATTTTTACCCTTATAAAGTTCACCCAAATCCCAGTACCTATCATTCCAACTTTTTCTCTTCATCTCTCTACTATCCAAATTAGAATCCAACAAACTTCCCAGACTTTCAATTCAGATAGCCTGGTATGGTATACCTTAGTATTTTTTTCCTTTAGCAATTCCAGCAGCCTGGTTGGTCATGTGCTCCTCTACACATCTTTCTATCTGGTTGCATGTCTGCCTATTCCTTATTGGGATTTTCTAGGCTTCCATTAGTTCAATAACACTGTTGAAGGCTTGTGCTACTCTTTACTCAGAAATTTCTAAGTGAGCTTTCATCTCCTTGGTTTCTTGGTCTTCTACATTTGTGGTCTTATCATAGGTTTGTACCAAAGTCTTATATGACACTGGTTATTAATATTCTTCTATATATATATAATGTTACACTTCACATAGATGCCCCTGGCTCCCAATGATGAGTAGAACCTGATTGGTTGTACCCAAGATGTTTTACAAATTTGTTTAATAAAGTGTCTTATAGAAAGTTTTATATAATAATGTTTCTATTAAAGAATATAATAAGAGTTATAAAGATTTGTATAGTTAAATAAAAAAAGTAATAACAATAGATATTGTTTAGCAAGAGAATCTGTTTGTTTATTAAAATAGTTATTTAAATAAGTCTGCATTTTGTAAAAAATGATTTGTAATTTGTATAATTTAATAATGTTTAGAAGAGTGTGTCAAATTGGCTATAAATTAAATTTAAGCAACTTGTTAGAATAGATTGACTTAAGTTAAAGTTTATTAAATTTAAAGATTACTAATTAAGAGTTAGTATAAATATTAATAATACAGTTTTGAGAAGCTGTTAAAATTACAATAATAATTAAAAAGAGTTCTGCTTTGTAAAATAAAGACCAGAATTTAATTTTAGTAAAGAAAAAATTAATAATTTGATTATTATTATCAATTTGAATCTAACTAATATCTATTGTGCATTGGTTAGTACCGATATCAATTATGAATCCATCAGTATAGAAAAATAGTTGTTAATAAGAGAGGTTGTAGTATAAGATAGATATAAGTTTGTTAATAGATTTACTTAGAATAAAAATTTCAAAGGCAATTGAATTGATAATAGAAATATTAGATAAAAAAAGAATGTGAATTGAATGTTTAATAACTATAAAGCAAATAAGATTCAAGTAATTGGCATTAAGGTTAAGTAGAACTTTAAGTTAGTTTTGTTAAGAAATTGTTTAGAAATAATTGCAGAAACTTTAACAGTACAGGTTTGGTTAATTCTATAAGAATTAAAATAGCATTCTATATATTGTTTGTAGTTGACAGAGTGTAAAGTATAAAATTTTATATAGTTTAAGTCTATATTAGAGGTCTAATAAATAATAGAGTAGTAATTAAAGAATAGAAAATATTTTCATATTTTTCTAATAATAATTTCATTATTGTAATATAAGAGTAATCAAAATTTAGATTTAGTAAGTTTTTTTAAATATATTAATAGTATAATAAGTATAAAGATTGTGACCTAGTAATTGGTAATATAGTAGAATATTTCAATAATAGAAATATACTAAAATTGTATCTTCTAAGTAAGAGAACTAAAAGAGTTTTCTGCTTTTAAGTAAATATAACAATCTTGATGAAGTTAAGTAAAGTGTTGTTATCTGCTATGTAAAGTTGTTCAAAGTATATAATATTTAATTATCTAAGTTGTTTTTTAAAAGTTAAATATTTTAGGTGCTGTGATAGAATAGATTCTAATAATTAGCTATCATTACTAATTGTATAGGTTAAGTTAAGTTAGAATTAATTAAAATAGTTAATCCAAGATGAAAAAGAAGTTGAGTAATTTTAAAATTTAATAAATGTCTGTTAAAACTATTTATAGTAGATTTGAGATAATATAATATGCTAATAAAAAATTATAAGTTGTTTTGTAACTATTAGAGTCTAATTTAATTTATAATACCAAGAAAATTAGAATTGTTAATTTATTAAAGATAGTTAGATATCCCAGATGTTATATATATTGTATAGAAATGAATTAAGCATTGTATTGTTTAGTATAGATCTAGAAAGATGAGATTTGTGTTTAGTTACAGTAAGGTATTTGAATAAGATTTGGTTGCATACAGTACAAAGAAGGATTATGTTATGAAGTCTATATTCTAAAGTTGAAATAATAATTATATTAATAATGTAAGTAATTTATTTGTCAGTAATTTTCTTTGTATTAGCTATATTAATGAGGTTAAAGATCTCTTCTTTTATTAGTTTAATGGTTTGAGAATATTTATTATTAAGTATAAACCAATATCTAAAAAATTTAAACAGTTGGTTTTTAAAAACAAAGTAAATTGTAATCTGAAGAACCACAATGAGGTAGTAGAAGAATTTGTAACTAAAATTAACTTAGTTGGATTAATTTGAATATTGGTTATATAGTAAAAGGAAATAGCAGTTTTGGTTATTAGATTGAGTTCATTTTTGGATTTTGTAATCCAAAAAGTATCATTTATGTAGGTTAGAACTAATACAAATGTTTTTAAGCATTAAGTTTGAGGTGAGTATAAGTTGGTTTTTCAGAATGTAGATAAAAAATATTTTGAAAATTGTAATATTATTCTATTGATTAAGAGGTCATAGTAGATTTTTCAAAAATAAATAGATTATAGTTTCTTTTTGGTCTATACTATTTTTAACTGAATAAAAATTAATAAGTTCAAGCTTAGATATAACATGGTTTTGACAATCAGTAAGAAGATTTATAAGTAT